AATTTATCTAGCTCTTTTTTGAACCCTTAACAGTCCTGGGCTTCACCACATCCTCTAACAAGGAGTTTCACAGGTTGACTATGCGCTGCATGAAAAAAAATTTCCTTTTGTTTGTTTCAAATCTGCTACCTATTCATTTCATTTGGTGACCCCTAGTTCTTTTGGTACGGGATCAAGTAAATAACTTTTTCTTATTCACTTTCTCCATACCTGTCATGATTATATAGACCTCTGTCATATCCCCCCTTAGGGACTATTTTCTAAACTGAAAAGTCCCAGGCTTTTTAATCCCTCTTCACACAGGACCCATTCCAAACCGCTAATCATTTTAGTTGCTCTTTTCTGAACTGTTTCCAATTCCAATATATAAGATTAATCAACCATATCTGTACACAGTATTTGAGATATGGGCATACCATGGATTTATACAGAGGCAATAAAATAGTCTGTCTTATCCTCTATCCATTTTTTAATGATTCCTAATGTTGTTTGCTTTTTTTGACTACTGCTGCACACTGAGTGGATGTTTTCAGAGAACTATCCACAATGACTCTAAGGTCTCTCTCTTGAGAGGTTATAGCTAAATAACCCTATCATCTGGTATGTACAGTTGGGATTATTTTTTCCAATGTGCATTACTTTGCATTTATCAATAATAAAATTCATTGCCATTTTGTTGCCCAATCACCTAATTTTGTGAAGCTCTTCACAGTCTACTTTGGTCTAAACTATGTTGAGCAGTTTTGCCACCTCATTGTTTACCCCTTTCTCCAGATGGTTTATAAATAGGTTAAATAGGATTGGTTCCTGTACAGACCCATGGGGGACACTAGTAACCTCTTTCAATTCTGAAAACTGGAGGCCATTTATTCCTACCCTTTGTTTGTTTACTGGCTTTTAACCAGTTATCAATCTATGAAAGGACCTTCCTTCTTATCCTATGACAACTCACTTCACTTAAGAGCCTTTGGTGAGGGACCTTGTTAAAGGCTTTCTGGAAATCTAAGTATACTATATCCACTGGATCCCCTTTGTCCACATGCTTGTTGACCCCCCACCAAAGAACTCTAGTAGATCAGAAGCTTCAGGGGATAACCGAGTTAGTCTGTTACAGAAAAAATGGTCTGATAGCACTTTATAGACTAACAAAACATGTAGATGGTATCCTGAGCTTTCGTGGGCACAGCACACTATTTCCCTTTATAGAAACCATGTTGACGTTCCCCCTAGCAAATTATGTTCATCTATGTATCTGACAATTCTATTATTTAATACTGCTTCAATTAATTTGCCCAGTACGGACGTTAAGCTTACTGGTCTGTAACTGCCAGGATCACCTCTAGAGCCCTTTTAAAAATATTGGCATCACACTAGCTATCTTACAGTCGTTAGGTTCAGGAGCTGATTTAAAGGATAGGTTACAAACCACAGTTAACCATTCTACAATTTCACATTTGAGTTCTTTCAGAGCTCTTGGGTGAATGCCATCTGGTCCCGGTAACTTTTTACTCTAACATTTATTAATTTTTTCCAAAATGGCACCTCAATCTCAGACAATTCCTCAGATCTCAAATTCCTCAGCGCCTGCCTTTCCCCCTCCCTATGCTGCCTCTGATTCAGAGGCAGAAAGGGGGGTGTGTGTAGTTGATAGGATTAACCGATAAGCCCACTGACTTCACTAGTTAATTGTGCCAGATATGCCATGGAAAGTATCTGCAAAAATGTTAGAATTTGAAAAAATCTGATAAACTTATTTATGTTTATATCATCTTTGTATTATGAACAACAAATACACAGGGTATATATTTACTTCACGACTGTGCTGTGCATCTATATGACACCAGTAAACAGATTGGCATCAGCACTGCTAGCCTATTTGATGGCCCATCAAAGGACATCAGCTGTACAACGAATCCTTTGAAAAGAGCCAAGGACTTCACCTTATGACTTAGCAATGTAGGCCTTTGGACAGAACTCTAGGGCCTTTCAATGCCATGTACTACAAGTTTGTGTTTGAAACAAAGAAAGTACTGCTGCAAAACTGCCCCCCCAGGAACAGCATGGGCTGCTGCCGTGAAACTGCTTCCCCAGGAACAGCAAGGGCTGCTGCTGCTGCGAAACTGCCTCCCTGGGAGCAGGTCCGGTAGGCTGTTACTGGCATCAATCACCTCCCCAGTAACGAGATTGGCAAGGGCTCCCGCTGAGAACCACATCCCTGGGAGCCCTGCTGCTGGGCCCACTTCTAGGGAGGAGGCTTCACTGAGGTAGCAAAGATCCTTCCCCAGAAGCGGGGCCGGCAAGGGCTCCAAGGGAGCTAGCGTGTAACCTGTGATTGAGAGGAGGAGAGAAGGGACCAGCCGGGCCCACTACAAACAGGGGCTGCTCCGGTGTTCCCCATAGGGCTGAAGCAGTTTCCTGCCCGGGGCAGCCGAGAGCTACTCCAGCCCCTACTAGTTAAACAGAAGTGGTATCCCTCACCCATTAAAGAGTGAGCCTTATCAGTTAACCGGTTAACCTTTTGCACCCCTAGTACTAACTGGGGATGTGTTCCAGAGGGACTTTCAAGCCAGAAAATTCATCAATCCTGCTAAGCACCTGATACATTGACTTTGAATCTTAATATATATGTGACTGCTTTACCATCTCTCTTCTTGTTCTTCTCTTTCTAGTTGCTAAAAGATTGCCTAGCAGCATGGTATTGATCTGATAACATGACTGACCCTTTGGAGTTTGAAGATCATTTCGTATATGTGAACAGAGTTTTTTTAAATAACTTCTCACTGTATTGGACCTATATGTTGATTGAGAGTCAGAGAACGGAAATGCAAGCAAGGGGGAGAGGTGATATCTGTTTTTGCTTCTTGATCACTAATGGGGGTGTCAGAAGCACAATTTGAATTCTAATAGAGAGGTAGCCATGTTAGTCTGATCTTGCTAAAACAAAAGTAAAAACTATGTAGCACTTTAAAGACTAGCAAGATGGTTTAATAGGTAATGAGCTTTTGTGGGTCAGACCCACTTCCTCAGATCATATTCTGGAAGAGAATTGGCATGACCATATATACCAAAGGAATACAATGAAAAAAGTGAACATATTATTAAACTGACAAATCAGACTTAGTACAGAAGGTGAAGTGAGCAGGAGGGAGGGAGGGAATATCTATTTGAGTCAATGAATGGCTAATCAGGGTGATAAGTGGGACGCTATCTTTGTTATGCTTAAGGTAATTAGCATCTTTGTTAAGGCCCATTCGTATAGTGTCAAATATAAGGATGAAAGAAAGTTCTGAAGTTTCCCTCTGTAATCTGGTGTTAAAGTATCTTTGAAGCAAGATGAATGTAGTAAGGTGATTAAAACTATGTCCAGGTAAGCTGAAATGAAAAGCAACTGTTTTTTTCTTGTCAAGATGTCTGATTTGTGGGCATTAATTCTTTGGCGAAGTGTCTGAGAAGTCTGTCCAATATACATAGCAGAAGGACACTGTTGGCACATGATTTCAGGAATATGTGTGCTTGATCATATAACTGACATGGTTAGGTCCAGTGATGGTGTCACCAGAGTAAATATGTGGACAAAGTTGGCAACGGGGTTTGTTGCAAGGGAAAATTCCAGGGTTGGTATTAATGTGGTATGTCCTGTGATTATTGGTAACAATCATCCTGAGGTTAGGTGGTTGTCTATAGGAGACTATAGTTCTGTCTCCCAGAGCCTCTCGGAGTGTAGTATCCTGTTCCAGTATAGGTTGTAGGTTATTGATAATGCGTTGGAGGGGTTTAAGTTGGAGGCTATAGGTGATGACAAGTGGTGTTCTATTGTTAGGTATCTTGGGCCTATCTTGAAGTAGATGGTTTCTGGGTATTCGTCTGGCTATTTCAATTAGTTTTTTTTTTTTATTTCCCCCAGTAGGTAATTGAGATTTACAAATGCTTGGTAGAGATCTTGAAGTTTCTGGTCTCTGTCAGTGGGATTAGAGCAGATGCAGTAGTACCTAAGGGCTTGACGATAATCGTATGGTGTGTCGTGGATGGAAGCTGGAAGCATGTAGGTAAGTGTAGCAGTCAGTTGATTTTCTGTAGAGTGGGGTATTTAATCTTCCATTAGTGATTTGAACTGTGGTGTTCAGGAAATGGATCTCTCGTGTTGAATGGTCCAGGCTGAGATTGATGGTGGGGTATAGGTTGTCCAAGTCTCTGCGGAATGCGTCCAGTGTTTCTTGGCCATGGGTCCAGATAATAAAGATGTCATCGATGTAGCGTAAGTAAAGGAGGGGTAAAAGGGGACGGGATCTGAGGAAACTTTGTTCTAAGTCAGCCATAAAGCACAATTTGTGCTGGGGAGTTTAACTTCAGTGTTACCACCAGTCCTGGGATCATTTGCAGCCTGTTCTGACCTTGGCATTTCTAGTAAGGGCTGACTTAGACACCAAGGGTCACACTTACTATACAGTTTAGTACTGATACATACCATGTAATATGTTGACATTAAATCTAATATATGCTGTACATATGATACCAAATATAAGTTATATTACAAAGCTCTAGTAACAATTAGAGATGGAAAATCCCAATTAACTGGTTAACCAGCTAAATATAGTGTTTAAAACATAGTGTTTTAAAGGGACAGAAGGTTGGAGAGTGGTCTCCTCGCCCGCCGCAGCTAGACTGGTGTGCCCTTCCATCACAGGCAGGGCCTGCACCATCCCAGCCAGAGCAGCCCCTCTCTGCAACGTGAGGGCCTCTTCAGCCCAGCAGTGGGGGTAAGCATGGACAGCCAGTCCTTCGTTGCCCATTTACCTCCATAGTAACAATAAAAAAAATGTTAATAATTACCATGGTTAAGAAATTAAGGAATATTGTGAAAGTTTCATAAGCATATTCATGAGAGAAAACTCTAAACTAAATATCAATTTCACTAAAATGTGAAGTATAATTTGTCCCACAATAATGTACTGAATTACTGGCCTTATCAATTGTAAGATTATAGCAAAGAGGTTTTTTACCTTCTGAAAAAAGTCTTCTCCACTTTTGCCTTTGCCCTCAGCAGCAGCTGTAAATAAAATAAAATTTGTTACAATAAATTTAAGAAATAGTTTTATAGCTGCAAACTTTTAATATTTCAGCAGAGTACTACTGAAATATAAATTCTCACACACATACACATTTATTTCACTAATGTTTTGCATCAGTGTTAAATCAAAACCAATAATAATTCAACTACTCATTTTCTTATTTAGTATGCAAACACAATTCATAAAGTGACACAAAAATGTAGAACAATAAATTCATACTGTCCTTTATCTCTAGACTTAAATCTAAGTTCTGGGAGAGGGCTATATTTAGTGCCTATTGAAACCAATGAGAATGGTTTCAGGCTTTTAGTTAAAAAGGAAAGATTTAGTTTGTAGCCTCAGTCTAATCATTCATTCATTCATATTGTGCAAACAATAGTGTTTGATCTCTACTGAAAAAATGTCTACAGCTAGAAAGACACAGGGTTTACCGATCAAGATTAGTAGTAAACTGCAAAGCAACAATGACCATTATGTTAAACCCTGAAACATGTTCAACAATATTACTAACTAGTTTTAAATAAACTATTTTTAAATGCCAACCTTAAATAGTTTTTATCTTAAATGTTTTATCCTTTATGTAATCCTCAAGGTACACTTCCTGGTTCATTTAACTGTCAATGCACCACCACAAATACCAGAAGTCTTTTTGAATCCCCTGTATAATTAATTGTATTTGTGCTGTGAATAAATGATGAAACAGCTGTATTTATAGTGAATTTCTGAAGTAAACAATTCAAATATTTTTAGTTAACACTTTAATAAATGTCAAGGTACAGATATATAAAAGGATGTGATATATATTCGTAATTTATTTCTTCTACTAATTCACACATAAAACATGCTGGATCTTCCAGAACAAAGTTAATTATTCCCAGTCAAATAGTTACAATGGAATTCCCCCTGGAACTACATATTCCTTAAACTTCATTACAATGTTACAGAAAAAACTTTAAATGGTCATTCTGCTTTTCATGTGAGTAATGTTCACATACAGAATAGATATAATACTCTCACATTCTGCCTTTCTACTATGGGCCATATGTGCAGAGGCAGTCCATATTCTTTATGGGATATGCTTATGAATATAAATATGGCATAACTGGAATATGCCTTATGTGAGACACTTTCATGTGAGACCATTGGAAAGGTTGTAATCTACTGAATATGATTATCCCAGTTGTATGCATGTATCATTTTTGTAGCCCAAGTTAGGAATATTGAACTGTGTCTCTAATTGCATATTCACTAATTTGGGTCACTTTGCTTTGGGTCATTTCCATTGTTTACATTAAAGGCCTGTGATTGCCCATTAGCAAAAAATAATGGAGTTTAACTTTCCTTTGGTGTGGGTCAGCCCATGAAGTACGGAAACAGGCCTTGCAGACACATGTGACCATGTCACCTGATACTGGAATCCATCTTAAAGTGTGTCCGGTTTTCACCCGGACTGTCCGTTATTCGGGTACCCCGTCCGGACAATGTGCGGCGCACAGGGCCATTTTTTTTCTTAACAAATTTGGTCTCCCCCTTCCCCCCCCCCATAGAATTTTTTCCCTGGTGTTTGTTAAACCATCTGGCAACCCTAGGGACAGGGGAGAGTCAAACCTAAACAAAGAACCTTAGGCAAATCCTATTTAAGGCTGAGGAGTGAGGAGTCATCAGTTCTCCCTGGCTACCTCATCCAAGATGACTGCTAGAAACAACTAAAACTGAACTAGGGGAAGGAACAGGGCACAAGCTGGAAGGATGTCTAGTCTGGGAAGATTATTAGAACTTTTAGAGTGAGATATTATATGTAACTAGTTTCTTTAGTGTATTAAGCTTAGCTTGTGTGTTCTATTTTGCTTAGTAACCTACTTTGTTCTGTGTGCTCTTCTTATAAATACTTACATCCTATATTTTTATACTTAATAAAATCAGTTTTGTTTATTAATAAACCCAGTGTAAATAACTGTTACCTGGGGGTGAGGGCAAGGAGTCTATGTACATCTCTCTTTACCCTGACAGAGTAAACCTCATGAGCTTCCACCATACACATTTCCATACAACATAAGATGGTTTTATCTAATGTTCAGCTCCCAAAGGGGCCATGTACTTGAATTCTGGGAAAAGATCTCACCCTGTGTTTCTTACAATGTGTGTCTATAGTCCTGGGGGTGTGTCCCTGCCCCGTCTCTCAGTTTAGGTAGGCTGGAGGTATCACATATGAACTGGTGATACAATGATATTCATGCCCAGTGTATGATATATGCATGGGCTACCAATAAAAAGTGGGGGAAAACATATTGTGGAAACAGTTGATAAACAAGCCTGCCATTGGCAAAGGAAAGTTGATTTCCCTTTCTGTGTAGATCAAGCTAACATAAAGATGAGAAACAGCAAGACATGACTGCAAGCAAAAGATAATGAGAGCTTATTTGCATCTGAGGCAAACAAGGGGATCAAGCTAATCCAGAAAGCAAGATAAGCAGAGGATGAAGCGCTTACACCTAGACCAAAAACCAACATGGAAGAGGATTTCTGTCTCTGTTAACTTTTCAAAGAATACATTTCAAAGGATTTCTGGGCTTAAAAAAACTGAAGAAAGAAGACATCTCTGTTATCCATCACTGAGAGAACACAAGGATCAGCACCCTCTGATTTTTGGCAATGATGGATCTTCCTGCCTGCAAAGCTGGAAATGCTGATAGATCAATGTGAAAAAGCTGCTAAGCCAAAAAATATAGACAACTAAAATTAAATTTTACACATTGGAGCATGCATAATTTTTGTTTTGCTTGTAACCATATCTGTCTCCTTCTCTTGCTTAGTATCACTTAATCCATGTTCTTCATTAATAACTGTGTGCCTACTTTTACTGTAAAGCATCTCAGAGTTGTGTATTAAAGGAAAATATAGGTCCTCTGCTAACCTGATAGGCTGGCATGTGCAATCTCTTTGGAGGCAGCAGACTTGATAATTTCTGTAAATGATCAGTGAAAAGGGCTAGATGCTGCAACGAGATGTTTTTAGGGAAGTGGGTTTCATTGAATGTTACCTGCAAGTCAAGGTTTAAACTAACAGTCTCAAGGAATTTGCTAGTAAGGCAAACTGATGTGGCACTAAAAGCTCCAATAAAGCTCTTTTGCTGAAGTAGAAAGGAAACACAGTGGCTTATAGTTCTATGTTCCCCAAGTGTATATCACATATATAAAACAACATTTAATTTATTTCCTATGAGTACTTGCTATTTATCATGAGAGAGCCGTATGATTGCTCAGAGCTCCAGTAGGAGAAAAGCCTGTTAAGAGTCTTTGGGTTAAATTTAGAGGCGGGAGCAACAGAGGTGATGATGTGATTGGTGTCTGCTATAACTACCAGATAGACGAGGTTTTCTTCAGACAACTAACAGAAGCTTCCAGATCGCAGGCCCTGGTTCTCATAGGGGATGTCAATCACCCTGACATCTGTTCCGGGACAAATACAGCAGGTGTTGGAGAATGTTGGGGATAACTTCCTGGTACAAGTGCTGAAGGAACCAATCAGGGGCCCTGTGCAACTTGACCTGTTGCTCACAAACAGGGAGGAACTAGTGGGGGAAGTAGATGTGCATGGCAACCTGGGCAGCAGTGATCATGAGATGGTCAAGTTCTGGATCCTGACCAAAGGAAGAAAAGAGAGTAGCTAAATACAGACCCTGGACTTCAGAAAAGCAGACTGACTCCCTCGGGGAACTGATGGGCAGAATCCCCTGGGATGCTAACATGTGGGGGAAAGGAGTCCAGGAGACCTGTATATTAAAGAAGCCTTATTGAAGGTGCAGAAACAAATCATTCCAATGCACAATAAGAAAAGCAAATATGGTAGGCAACCAGCTTGGCTTACTAGTGAAATCCTTGGTGAGCTTAAACACAAAAAGGAAACTTACAAGTAGTGGAAACCTGGACAGGTGATGAGGAAGCAGTATAAATATATTGGTTGACAATTCAGAGAAGCTATCAGGAAGGCCAAAGCGCAGTTGGAATTGCAGCTAGCAAGGGACGTGAAGGATAACAAGAAAGGTTTCTACAGGCATGTTAGCAATCAGAGCTGTGGGACCCTTACTAAATGACAGAGATAACCTACTGACAGATGATGTGAGAACATCAGAATGGCCATACTGGGTCAGACCAAAGGTCCATCTAGCCCATTATTCTGTCTTCTGACAGTAGCCAATGACAGATACCCTAGAGGGAATGAACAGAACAGGGAATCATCAAGCTCTTCTTCTCCTGTCATTGATTCCCAGTCTTTGACCAACAGAGGCTAGCGACACCGTTCCTACCCGTCCTGGTTATTAAGTATTAGCTGAAGTACTCAATGCTTTTTTTCTTTGTCTTTACAGAGATCAGCTGCCAGACTACTGCATTAGGCAGCACACTATGGGAAGGAAGTGGGCAGCCCTCAGTGGACAAAGAAAAGGTTAAGAACTATTTTAAAAAGCTGGACATACATAAATCTTTGGTGCTGAATCTAATGCCTCTGAGGGTGCCAAGGGAGTTGGCAAAGCCATTGGCCATCTTTGAAAACTCATGGCAGGATGACTCAGTAAAGGCAAAGGTAGTGCCCATCTTTTAAAAAAAAAAGGGAGGAGGAGAATCCAGGGAACTACAGACCAGTCAGCCTCACTTCAGTCTCTAGGAAAGTCATGGCAGGGATCCTCAAGGAATCCATTTTGAAGAACTTGAAAGAGAGGAAAGTGATCAGAAATAGTCAACATGGATTCACCAAGGGCAACTCATGCCTGACCAATCTGATTAGCTTCTATGATGAGGTGACTGGCTCTGTGGATATGGGAAAGTCCATGGATATGATATACCTTGATTTTAGCAAAGCTTTTGATACGGTCTCCCACAATATTCTTGCCAGCAAGTTAAGTAAGTATGGATTGGATAAACGGACAATAAGGTGGATAGAAAGTGGGCTAGATCATCTAGCTCAACAATGTCTGGTTGAC